CCCCCCCCCCCCCCCCCCCCCAACAAAGATGTAACACAGACCCTTACGGTACCATAATGTGCTCCTTGTTTGTGCTGCAGGTGGGAAGAGATGAAGGACTTGGGCCCCTTGACTAGACCGAAGCAGCAGAAGGTGTTGTGCTTCTTTCTATGGGAGCTGCTTTAGTCTCAGTGAGAAGTGGCTGTTGGATCTGGAGAGACTGGACCGACCCATGTTGTTTCTGAATAAAGCAGTGCTGTTTCCTGTGACCAGTTCTGCATTGCTGGGAGTGGAGGAAGGCCCATGTGAGACTGTCAACCTGACAGTGGAATTGGGGTCAAGTAATCCAAATGGAGCAGGCAGAAAAAGCACCCCCTCCTCCCCTGCCCTGTCCCTCTCTGTCTCTTGCCTTTGCTTCTCTCGGTGTGTTGAAATTCAAGCCTTTTCTCAGCTGTCTTCTGAGACAGTCTGGCGGCCTGGAACAAGGTCTGGGTGCTGCAATTGAGTGCCCAGTTCCATCCACCGTTGTAAAATGCTACCCAGAGCCAGGCTGGTCTCTGCTCTGTGTGGTCTGGCAGTGGATACTTCTACTGGGGGAGAGGGAGTGGAGGGAGCAGTCTAGATTGCTCATTGTAACTCAGGAGGCTTTTGCAGGGGAACTCCTGGTTCATTGCACTTGTCTGTTTTCAGTCACTGGAGTCTTGCTAATGAAAGGCACAGGTATCCGTTAACAGCAAGCACTCAGAGCTGGCCTTTGCTCCAAGCTCTGGGGTTGATTTTTATACATGTAATTAACAGCATTAATTACTGTTTTAATGAGAGCAGGTCCCTTCACTTGGCTCCTGTTGCCTATGCGATTCTGCAGTGGAGCTGCAGTTTGCAATGAGTGCAGGAAGGAGGGGCACCGTGCTTGGAGCCTGGGCCTTGGGCATGCACCGTGCAGAGAGGCAGGCTATTGTTAGAGTGTGCCAGTCTTGGGGATGAGTGTTCGGGGCCACAATAGCTGCACGGCTGTGTTGTATTTGAAGCCTCTTTCATGGCTCAGTGACTCCAGCCGGGCCGTCGGGGTTGTTCCACGTATGGTAATAAGCCTTGCCATTTGTTTTCTGTTTTCCCCATACAGAGCTTGTTCCCTGAACTACGTGGGCGTCTGCACAATTTGTAGATGTAATAAAGCAGAGTGGCCATAGGAGGCCTTTCTGTCGGCCCCTTTGATACTGTGCATTTCTTCCCCACTGCTCTCTCTCTCTATTGGTTCACAGGAACCTGCTCCCTATTCATTGGGCCTGACATGCCCCATTCTCCCCCCATTTTTTTCTACAAAGCAAAACGGAGCTTTGTACCATCTGAATGAACTTCAAAGTGGCTGGAAGGGGCACCCAGGGTTCCTGGCACTTGTCATTGTCTCCCAGCCTGGCCAGCATTTCCCTTCAGGTCTAATTACTTCCAAATGCTCCAGAATGCTTTGAAGAAAATCAGAGGGGAGGGGGAGGCATGAGGGAAAGGTAGAGGAGGGAAAAGGAAACGCTGAGGGGAGGGAGCAGAATGCAGGCTCTGAGGGAGAGCAGTTTCCTGAGGCACCCAAACATGACTGGCCTGGGAATGTGGATGCCAGTGGCGGTAGAGCCTCAAATGCCCTGCGGGCTGCTGCTCTCAGCAATGCCTTTCTGTTGAAAGCAGCCCCTGGCCCTAGGGCCAGACCAAACCAGAAGGGGAAATGCTGCAGCAAGGTTCTGTAGGGGGCAAGAGAGATGCAGATGAGTAGCATAGCTAAAGGTCAGAGCTGCAGTGGATTACGCTATGACCAGGGGGGCTCGTCAGGCCCCGGCGGATTACTCTATGACCGGGGGGCTCATCAGGCCCCAGTCTCTGTCAGTGAAGTGTGCTGGCCTTGCTGCCGCTCCTCTGAACTCTGCTGCTGCTGGGGGAGTCTCTGTTCTTTGCATGTCCCTGGGGACATGTCTGTGCAAGTCGGCATCAGTACAGCAGCTTGACACAGCAACACCCCACCTGGTCTACCAGGTGCTGCTGTGCTGTGCTTGGCAGGCTGTTGAGGGGGTACCATGAAGTCAGGCAAATGCAGGGTAGCTTACGTATCTATCTGCCTTCTGATACGCAGTTGAGCCAGTTTAAGGGCAGCCACTGCTAACCTGAGTGCTTGGGCCCCGCAGCTGAGGCCCATAGCACATGTGCAGTGCCTGAGGTACAGGGCTGATGCTGGCTACTCCACTGACTCTTTCCTTTATTGCCGCTAGAGGGCATGGGCAGTGTCTTGTGCTGCTGTTCAGCTTGCAGATGGTAGTTCTTTAGCCTGTGCTTGAATGCTAATTGGATGCTGCTGGGTGAGGCCATGGCCAGGGCATGAACACTGCAAGCACCTGGCACAGCCCTTGGGAAGCAGACAAAAGCCTCAGCAGCAGTAACAAGCAGTGCCCAGCTGCTGGGTTCACGGCACGTGGGCAAGGGCTGCTGCCAATTCATTGTCCTGCACAGGGGAAGCATGGCTGTGACTTCACGCCGTGCAGGGATCCCTGCAATTCCTGGCAAGGGCACTGCGTACCTGCAGTGGGGACAGGCAGCAGTCACGGGCTGGGAGTTTGGTTTGGCTGGATTTCCCAAACAGGCTTTCTTAGCAGGTTCAGTGACTTGCTGCCCCTATTGCAGTGGCTCATGGAGTGATTGCTGGTAGGCATGCACCATTCTGTCTTGGGCTACCAGCAGCAAGTTGTGTGCATGACCCTGGAGACCTGGACAAGGGCAGGATGCAGGAAAATGCCCTGTGGGAGGAGACAGCAAGATCCAACACCCGTTACTGGGTCTGCCACGTGAGGATGAGCTCATCATGTGCCTGGGTACCAGCCCTACCCTTCCTGCTGCCAGGGCAGAAGCAGCCAGCAACTGGGCCCAGGGGTCAGTGCCCTGAGCACTCTGCTTAACCAGCAAAGGGCAGGAGCACCAGCATTGCTCCACACTGGGAGGGAGCTCAGTGGCCCCTCTGTCTTCCCAAAGACCCCTGAGGGCAGAGCACAGCTGGAAAGCTGCTCCCGGGCCAGCCTCCCACTTCCCAACAGAGCCAGGCTTGGCAGCCTGGTTCTGCCCATGTGTCAGGTTTCTTATTTCAGCTTCCCCCTTCCCTGCCAGCAGAGGGGCCGGGCTGTCCCGTGATGTGGGATTCTCACACATGCTGTTTGTTATTCTGTCCCTTTTTAAGAGTTTTCCTTTCGTTCTACAAAGATTTAAAGGAGAGGGTGGGGGAAGCAGAGCAAGTCTTTGAAGCAACTTGACTTTCGATGATTAATTGCAGCAAGGAGCCTGCACCAGGGCGGGAGACTTATTTTTGATTTATTGATGTTTCTTTGTGAGAACAAATTTATAGCAGAGGGGAAGCAGCTTCTGAGAGGAATATCAAATGGTTAAAAGGTTCCAAGCACTCTTTGATGTCGCAGCCGGAGGAATGCTGGAAGGGCTCAGGGAGAGGCACTGTTTATTTATAAAATAAAGATCAGGTACCTGCTCTTGGCACAGCCTGCAGCTGAGCTCCTGCTTAACAGCTCAGACAGCAGAAAGGCCTGGAATTGGACTTTAAACCTCGACCGCAGCAGCCCACTGAGGTGACGGGAGCCCACAGCTAGGGAAAGGTTTCCAGCTGCTCACTCTTTCCACACGCCCCCGAAGAAGCAGCACCTGTTTCTCACATTGGATGAGGCGGCAGAAAGACCTTGGCTGAGCTGCAAGCAGGAAGCTGCCAGTACAGGCAGGATGCCCTGCTCCAGGCACGCAGGCTGCAGGAGCAGCCCTAGTAACATAGCATCTCCTTTGTAGCTGCTGATTCTTGCCCTGCTCAGTGAGAAGGGGAAGACAGCAGTACTGCCCCCGTAGTGGACCCGTGCTGGAGATGCCGGGGCAGAGGTCTGGTGTCAGCGCTGCTGGATGCCCTAGGAGGCTTCTAGAAGTCCAGGAGCTGGGGGAGAGCAGCAGCTGCTTCAGCTCCCTGCAGTACAGCCACAGCCTGTAGCTGCAGGGTGTTATGTCTCCCCACCCCCGGGCCGGGAACCACCTACCAGCTGCGGCAGCACTTTCTCCACGTGCTCGACGTCCACCCGCGCCAGGTCCTCGGCCCGAGCCTGGCGGGCAGCTCGCACGGCGGCCTCTGCAACAGGGAAGGTCGTGGGCAGCTGGCCTGGGCTGGGCGGGAGCCGCCAGGGGCAGCGCCTGCGCGAGGGCTTCCGAGGCCCAGCCCGGCACGGGCCGAGCACCCGCTTCTCCCCGGCAGGGGCTCCCCCCCTCACCTCGCACGAAGACCTTCAGCATCTCAGCCAGCAGCGCCAGCGCCTCCCCGCCCACTGCGGGAGAGCGGCAGTGAGCGGCGCGGCCGGGCTGGGGGCCTCCCGCCACGGCCTGGCCCCCGCCTCACCCCTACCCTTGTCCTTGCCCCTGGTACCGCGCGTCCTGTCGTCCCGGAAGTGCCGGCGCAGCAGCTTGTTCACCGTCTCCTGCGGGGGGAAGGGGGGGTGTCACAGGCGTCGGCGGGGAGGGGACCCGAGAGGAAAGAAGACAAGACCCCCGCGCGGACCTTCCTGAACCCGGCCCCGTGCTCTTCCCGCTCCTCCATCCCGCGCCTGGCTGGCCCTGCCCTCCCCCTCTTCCTATAGGCGGGACATCCCCCGAAGGGGCGGGACGTCTGGCGCCGCGCTGCCCCCTGGGAGCCGCAGTTGCGGGCGCCGCTCCGGGCGGAGAAATGAGCGCTTCCGGGGTCATGAGAGGCTTCCGCTGGCGGGGCATGTCGGGAGGGACAGGCCGTGCAGCCAGGCTGCTAAGGGAGCGGGGAGGCTGTGTGGCCCCGGGTCTTGTCGCCCCACTGTCGTGAGGCGTCTTCCGACCCCTTTTCCTGCCCCCGGGGCCTCTGTAGAGGTGGGGCCGCGCTAGGCCTCTGCGCCACACCTCCCGGCGTGCCTCGCGACGCCGGCCCCACTACAGCTCCCACCATGCCCCGCTCTTCCTGGTTACCGGCGCGTGCTGCCGCCCGGGTGCCGCGTCCCTGGGGCC